AGATAACAACTTCGGAAGGAATCATCAGAAAAAAAACATATAAAATTCTACGGAAGGAAATTTGCGATATGTGAAAATTGCCTTTTTTCTAGATTTTCTGAAATTGCGCTCCGTATAATTTTGTACATTTTCCTTTTCAAGTGCTAAAAGCAATCGCTGAAAAAAATCACGGGGTCACCGGGTTAGTTTTCGAATTATTTAAGCCATAAGCTAAAAAATGCGTCTGAATAAACCTATGACAGCGTTTCCATGGAAACTGCTAGTGACGAAATGACACCTATTTTTGGATAACCAATGATTATATAATTCAACCCCGTGGCCAGTCTTTCTGTTGTGTTCTTTCAAAGTTACAAACCATCAAAAAGATGAAAACCGGTACGAGCCACCTTAAAAAGCTGACGTTTCGACCGTTGGCCCTTGTTACCCCTTACCGGCGCAGCACCACATGTACAGTTTCTTTAGAAACTTGCCCCCTCTATTCAAATACTGGCGATGATATTGATAAAATAATAATTAGAAAATAATAATGAAAAAGTGGATAACAACGACGACACTGACGATGATGACGATGATAGGAAAGTTGTGGTACAATATCGGAAACAACAGCAAATGAAAGAAACTAGAAAAACAATTTGACGATACGGTATACAAACATAAGCTCTTTTTTTCGATAATAAAACGACTTTAACATAGGGGACACCTGGTTTGCTTCTTGGTTTGTTTACTTGCATTTAATTAATTAAGTGTTAAATTTGTTGTTTTTTTTAGGAACAGTCAGCGTGCAATAGATAGGTAAGGTAAGGTAGACTTTATTTAGCCAGGGTGGCCCATTCAGCAACGAGGCTGATATCCAGAGGGGCCCTGGAGTCAAATATTACAATAGTTAAGAATACAAGACATCTTGAAAGCTGAAAATACAGGATAAAATTTAAAAATACAAAAAATATTTATAAGTAAAGGTATAAACAAACATGCAACAGTTTACAAGAATATAGTGTCAATAAAATTTTAAAATTTGTAGTTATTAATTAAAATTTTGAAGGAAGAAAGTGACTCCGCGTTTTAAATACAACGAGGTAAAAGTTTAAAAAGAGCTGAGCCCGAATACCTCAAAGTTCGTTTTGTAAGGCTTAGTTTCGGTTTGGGCAGGTGAAAATCTGTTCTCCTGCGAGTATTATAGCTATATACATTACAATTTCTAGTGAAATAGTGACTCAAATATTCAGGTAATAGATTATTTAGGCATTTAAATACAAGTTACGTTTTTTTTCTAGCTCAGCCCACCCTAAAACATTAAAAGTGTCTTTAGAAGAGTCACGCCTTAAAACGATGCGGGCAGCGCGATTTTGTAACTGTTGTAGGTTTGCTGGAGGTGGCTGACAATTCACCCCACACGCGTACGGTGTCCGTATAACACAAGATTGCTTCTATAAGTGTACTGAAGACACAATTCGCTGCTTTGAGAGTAAGGCAAGATCTTATTCAGGCTAAGATTCCTAGTCGCTTGTTGGCTTTGTTACAAATTGTGTCAATATGCTCTTTCCAGTGAAGTTGCTCGTCGAGCATAACCCCGAGATAATTAAACTTCGTCACTCTCTCTATGTCCTTTCCTTGGATCTGCAGTACAAAATTAATTCTGATGAGTTTTGCAGTAATTGCCTTGTTCCAAAACGTAGTCCTTTCGTTTTGCTATGATTTAATATTAGTCTGTTACTCGTCAGCCAGTGCTCAACTCGTTTGAGATCTACTTATAGATTTTCCCTGATAGAGCAACCAGCAATGACTTTTTGTTTAAAGAGCAGAAAAATATCGCCACCGCAAAATATACATACAAATACACCTCAACTACCCACAAAGTGATGTACCTCAGAGCTAGTACTAACTGCTCTGATCAGAACTTCTAAGTCGATTCTGAAAATAAAATAGATGGGCGATTTTACTTGACCAAAAAAAAAATCGTAGGCCTTAAAATTGTAATTGTTCTCTGACAGTTGTTGATTATAAACGACGATGGCCCAACGGACTAAGTTTGTGAATTTTCTAAGTGTTTCGATATATGTATTTTTCCAGTAAGAGGATAGAATTTAAGTGAGAATATATGCAAACAAATCCACATCAAGTACCAATCAGACGATGTGCCTTGGAGTTAGCACCATCTACGCTGATGATAATTCATTTCTTCATTCCACAACAAAAAGAAACGGACGATGTTTCATGGACTGGCGGGCTTGACCTTTTGTTAAATTCTAATTCTCAAAAACAATAGCAAAATGGATTTAGTTTGTTGTCAGTTCTTGAGTCTTTTGATATGTTTGAGATTTAATGAAGCCGGTTTAGTAAATGAATGTATGAAATGTTTAACGCCAGCTTTTCCATTTCTAGTATTCTGATTGGTTCACCCAGTTACGGTTGATGTTAGCGAATCGCGGGGAGCTCCTGGGGTGACGTCGATGCGCCGCTGGAGCGTCATACTATAAGTGAGGCGCTCGAAAAGTAGCCGGGGCTGTTTTGTAAGGAAGCAAGTCACTCTTGGGGGGGCAAAGGGTATAGACGTTTTCCTGAAGGGGAAACTTGTTATGTCTATTTGTTTGCTCCTTTTATTTGCTAATTGATAACACTCTCAAGATCTAATGCATTTATCCTGCAAAACCAAAAGGCAAAATCTATTTGTGACAATCCTACTAGGAAACCGTCCGAAGTCTGACCCAAGACAGCTCAGGTTTTAAGCTTTAATAAGATGTTTGTTGTCTGACGGCAGACAAATTTATTTGACTGCATTCATGTTGCTCCAACAGAAGAAAAAAAAAATAAATCACCTGAAACACATCTCGCATTAGAAAACAAGACTGTTAAGAATTGCAAAAAGCGAATGCCCTCTCTTCCTTCCCTTTATTAATTTTCCAAACTTCTTTTATCATAAGCCAAGGATTGTATATTTTCCACAGTTATCGCACAACGTGCGCTCTGATAGGTCAAAAATCTATTCTATATTTGCCCGTATACCCATAGAAAAGTGAAACATTTTGCCGTCCTGTAAAATGGCGCCACACGGGGTGAGTGCCCGGTGTTCTCTCCTCCAGACCAAAGGCCTCTGCCAAATCAAAATCTTTGAACGCCAAAAGTAACGACAAAGGTTTTTTTTTCCTGACATTATCAAATTTTATATTTACGTTCAGTTTTTACTGGCTGGTTGCTTCGTTTTCAGCCTTTATTTTTCGCTGCGCGGTTTAAGAGAAAGAATTTCGGAATTTCTCAATTAAAATTCCTCAAACTGCTCGTCGAGAAGGTAACGTTTCCATCAATTTGTTACAAGGACGACGTAGAGCCAAACTACCTGATTTTTCATTTAGATATTTACTGAAAATCGTGTTTACTGATGAGAACAAAAACCACTTGCAAAGTGAATGTGCTCTCAAGATTAATGGCAATTCCCGTTGTCGTCCGCGATTTCAGCTTTCATTTGAGAGTTTTTTTTCCAAGTTTACGCTAGCAAAATGCAAGTTCTTTCGAACTTTTAACAGTTCCTTTCTGTGCTTAAGTTTAAGAGCGAGATATGTCTTCTGAAATCGTCCGTGAAATTCCTCTAAAAGCTGCCTCATTTGCGCCCGAATCTCTTCTCGTTTGAGCTGGGCATCACTAGGACGAGCTTTAGATAAGAACGAAAATACAAAGTTACGGAACAAAATGGAAAATAAAGGAAACAAAGGGGAAGGGACAACATGTATATAAAACTTTTATCGTTCAAGTTGATCGAGATCAACTGAGTACACATGCTAATTAATCCGTTTCAGGAAGGAAACCTGAATGTAATTGAATTTCAAAAGTAGAAGTGAACACCTTTGAGGACAACCAGTCATT